GGGGGGGGGGGAAGAGAATACTGCAACAGACAACAGTAATAAAAACCAATTTATACATGGTTTTCTCCATATTTATACATTACACGTTTATGTACTCTCAAACAGAAAGCAGCCAAGCTGGCAGACAGAACCAGCAGGGTCACAAATTCTAAATTAAAAGTAGTTAACAGAAAAGTACTTTGATCTTGTACAGATGCGAGAGGAGTTCAGGGAATGCAATATACACACCACAGGAATTCCCACGACACCCAGACTGGCACGTGCATTTACAGCCATCAGTGCTCAAACATCCTTCACTGCAGCTCTTTTTCCCATGGCAGCATATTCTTCGGTTTGTCCATGCCTGGGGAGGGACTGTCAAGATTAAACCAGTTTTCAAACCTATCTGAATAAAAGAATAAGTATTTATTTAGACTTAAATCTGCATGCACTTTGTCAGAACCATTTATAGACAGGTTGTATGGATTTTTCAGTTACTAACTCAACCAACAGGTTGCTTTGGGAGTTCACTGTAATTAGCTTTTATGAAACTATCATGATTCACAGACCATCTTTGAACAAATAAACAAAAATATTTTTATGCATTCATGTTGTTGAGTACTAAAAATATGGCAGCTCACGTACAATTCTGATGCAACTTAGGAAAACCTATGCATTTAAAAATATTATTCTGCTACAGTAACTTGTCAACTTTCAGAAATAAAGTAATTATGGTAATTGTTTTTTTTAATCTTACTCATGCAATGCTCCCCTCCTCTAACTACAAAAAAATAGTGGTAGTTACGTCGATAGAAGTGGCATTGTACTAGCGTGGAAAAAGATAGTGACCCAAAGAGACAATCTTTAGTACCCTTGTTTCCTTAGCCAGTATGGCACTGATCCATTTTCACAGCCACTGGTGGTGCAGCAATTGCAGACTCAATTCTTCTTCTCTGCCCAACTGCAAAGAACGTTCATGCTCCCATCAGTTTGTTCGCGCTCACTGCGTGTTCAGGGAAGCTCACGGCAAAGCGGCGCCCGTTGATGGCAGCGACGCAGAGGTACGAGTCACAAAGATTTCCTGTTTCTCAAAAGCAAGGCACACTAGCAAATATTTAACTGCCAAGCAATTTTAAATATTTCATCCCATGTCTATAGATTTACTGAAAGCAGAGCAATCCCACTTGGAGACAATTAGAGTTACTCACAGCAGTGTCCACATTTGGCTGGCACGAGTCTGGCTGTATTTGCGGGCAATTGACTCCATGCATTCCAGCACAGAAGGGCTCGTTGGAATTTCTGCTAAGCTCTGTAACATCCAGAGTTCAGGGCACAAAAAGTTAATGTAAAAAACATTAGCGATACATAAATCTTCATGTGCAAGCATTCACAATTTTAATGTTTCCACAATACAACCTTGTTCCAGAATTATTTGTATTTACTGAATAGAGTATGCTCTCTTCCTCGGGTAATTTTCATTCCAGTGGTCATTACTGAATGTTCTTCCTGAAGTTCTTCACAGGGAAGAGCAGACACAGAGCAAGGATCTGGCTCAATTTCTGACCGTACAGCACCAGCCAACAGCTCTGCAGCCGAATTAGCGATGGCCAGCGTTGGGCAGGCCTGGAGCCAGCAGTGCCAGGACAGCCCCAAATCTATTTTTGTGCTCTCCTGAGGGCCCCACATTCAGAGTTGCTGAAATACAGAAACCAGCAGCAGCTGCATAATCAATTTATGTGAAATCATTTGGAAATTATTAAGTCAGAGATTCAACAAGATGGTATCAAAAGAAGTGACTAAATTCTTCTCCAATCTCTCGTCATGCAACACTGAATTTGGACCACTGCGTCTAAATTTCAGTGTTACGGGTCTTACCAGCACTTTTTAAAGAGATGTGCAAAGTCACAGCAGCCTTGGGCTCTAATCATCCAAATTTGTGTTTGCAACTACTCCTTCATTAATTCTCGCCTCATCTCCCAGGTTCTGCTCCCACAGACAGCAGCCAGAGAGACCGGCAGGAGAAATGGCACTGGCCTCACGGGACACAATATCAAAACAACACACAAAGTTCACCCTGTTCTTGCTGTCTCAGAGCAGGGAGGGTTTTGGCTGTGGCACCCAAGGCAGGACACTTGTTTGGACCAACTGTCCCAGGTTAACTAGTCACCAAAGGGATTATTTTTCTGGGCAGTCAAAGGATGGCAGGACACTGAGACCTCTGTAGCTTTTCAGATGGTTAGAGTTGAGAAGTACCAATCTTGGGCATTTTTTTTTTCATTCAATACACAAACCTTACATACTCTAGTTTCATTTAAGGAATTTACTAGAAATACCTTGGATACATTTTCTCAGGTAAAAAGAAAAGGATGTCATGTACTAATGGTACCTGAGGTGTCTGCGTAATCCCAACTTCCATCACTTGTGTCCAGGCACTGACAGCGAATAAGGACACACAGCTCTTACCCTTTAAAGGACATTCTATTAGAAAACAGAAGAACAAACTTTGGAAATCAGCTAATATAGATAATTCTGCACAAGGATTGTGTATGGGTTGCTTTAAAGGTAGGGAAATAATAGGATACTGGTACCCTGCTCAATTAAGATAATCCAACAATGTGTATTTATTATATAAAGACCAAATGACCATGAGAAGCACTGAATAAAAGAGCATAACCCATACCAAAGAAAAAACTGAGTGATCCTGTTTTGCCTGAAAATAACCAGCAAATTAAAATGTTAAATAATAATAATAATAATAAAAAAAAAAAAAGACAGACAATCTAGTACTGAAAAAAATAGCTACTTAGGGCTGGCCAAAAAGACCTGACTTAACATGTTATTTGACAATTTCTGACAGTGGATATTTATTCTAACAGAAAAGCACTATATATAGTATAATTAATCAAAAATAAACACACTCAGTTAATTGAATAGTTATATATCAGACATTTTTCCAAATATAAAACCAAACCCATAATAATTAGGGACACTATAATAAATTATTTCTGGGCTATGACATTCTAGTATGTTCATTCAGTGAGATGTGTCAAATGAAATTATAGATATAAATGGTCATATTATTTGCTTCTATGATAGTTTCAACCATTACATTTTGCTATCACAGGAGAAAACGAGAGAAAGATTTTTGCTGTATATAGTATACATACCAAAAAACACATTTGTTTAAAAAATCATCCAGAAACAATACCTAATCAACCTTTACATCATAAAAAAAGCTGTAAT